TTCGTCTCAAATGCACATGAAACACATTCCCCAGGTGAGATCACGTTAGGTCACAAAACAAGTCAACAAATTTAAGTAGATTGAAACCACTTCAAGTACCTTTTACAGCCATGGAATGAGACTAGATTGGTAAAAAAGTGGAAAATTCACAAATACGTAGAAACTAAACAACACATTCTTGAACACCTTTTGGGTTCAAGAGAAAATGAGAATAAAATTGTTAAAATTACCCTGAGACAAACAGAAATGAAAACACAACATACCAAAACCTATGGGATGTAGAAAAAGCACTAATAAAAGTTTAGGAAAGAGAATAGATCTTAAAAGTTCTCACACACACAAAAAAAGGGAGGTCAGGGAACTGTAAAAATGTGAAGTGAAAGGATGTGTTAACTTGATTGTAAGAATCCTTACACAATATATTCGTCTATCAAATCACCATGTTGTATACTTTAAATATAATTTGATTAATAAAACAAAAAAATTTAGTCTCTTCCCTCGTTTTATTTTTTTAAATGTTTTTATTGATTTTAGAGACAGCAAGCGGGATAGAAACATTGATCAGATGCCTCTTGCACACCCCACCGTGGGCATGTGCCCTGACTGGGAATTGAAATGGTGACCTCTTGGCTCATGGGTCAATGCTCAACCACTGAGCCACATGGGCCAGGCCGTTCCCTCATCTTAGATACGAAGATTAGATATGAAGTACAGGGAAGATGTTAGAAGACTGCATCACTGTTCTTCAACAAATGGAAGGATGAGAATCTCAAATATAAAGGAAGTTTACCAATATCGTCCGTTTTCTTCCTGCACTGCAGTAACAGCAGGAGAAAGTGGGAGACGTCATTTTTGGCTACTGACATCTCAAGTGCTGACTTACTTCTTGTGGTACTCCACTGCCCTCTGCTGGACGTGTGTGATAATTGTGACCTCAAAGCTAGTTCAAAGTGGTAGCGTAGTAATCGTCATCACCATTCCAGCAGCAGCACTGTGCTAAATAAGTGCTGTAATGTGCAATCCTCCTCACAACTCTATCAGCTGTTAAAGTGTGTATACATTTTTTGGGGACACCCTGTATTTTGGGAATATTTTTAGGGGGTGGAACTTTCCTCACAACAGCTAGAAAATACCATCCTCACTTTGTAGGTGAGGAACTTGGAGGTTCAGAGGCAAGTAAACCAACCAAGATATCACAACATAAGAGACCTGGGAATTAAATATTGGCTCTCTAGAGCCAGCTCTTAGCTATACCGTTCACTAAATATAAACTTTCATGCTATCAGCTGTATTGGAGATACATCTGGAAAGTGTTACCATCTGAGACCTGTGGATTCACTATTAACAATGGCATCACAAAATGATTGTTCTAAAAAGCCCAAAATAAACATCTTCTAATTTTTCCCTCTTGAAAAGTCCCAAAATTTATCAAAAAGGAATTAATTTTACTCCTCAACTAAGCAGGAGAGTTTCTTAGTGTTTCTCAAAGTGTGAATCTCCTGCGTTAGAATCACGTGAGTTGCTGGTTCAGCACAGAATCCCAGGCATCAGCATGGACCGTGGACGGGACTTGCTGCTGAGAGATGTAATGTGTGTTAGTGGGGTAGGGGGTGGAGAGAAAGAGGAATCAAAGATGACTCCTAGGATGTGGGGCTCAACAACTAGGTGGTCAGCAGTGACATTGGCTGAGATGCGGAGGGTTGGAAGAATGCATTCTGTTAGCAGTTTGGTTGTAGTAGTTGCTATGTGGCAGTGGATATAAAATTGGGAGTTTGGGTTTAGACATGTTATCTTTGTGATGCCAAATAAATAACCAACTAAAAATGGAGGAAATGACAAATGGAGCAACAGACTTTTTGATTCAGAACGATGTTCAAGGTCTGTCTGTGTTGTTTCACGTGCATCTTGTTTCTAATTACTGTACAGTGCCCTGTAACCCTACCAATGATAAGTGCCCAGATTGCTTCCAAGTGCCGTCAGTACAAACAATACAGCAAGGAGCATCCTCCAGTACGTTCCCTGTGAAAATATAATAAATATGTGTACTGGTCTCTGCCCCCGGAGTACTATAGCTGGAATAGCTGGCAGAGGTGCAGGAAGGCTGCAGAATGGCAAAATAGTGTGAAAGCCTTGAGGTCAAAGATATTGGGGAGTCCACATCCTCTCACAGGCTCTTCCTCCACAAACTCTACCAGGCACTCACAGAAAAGAGCGGGAAAGAGCCCTAAGAAGTGTCCGTTACGGTGCAGTCCTGGGGTAGGGGAATAGCAGCTACTCATGAGGCAGAATCTTTCCCTTCTATCTGCACTACAGAATAAGTCCCTCAAAACAAACACAAATTAGGAAACTCAAGAAGAAATAGTCCTATATATAACAAAGAAATTAAATGTTTAAAACTTTCCCCAAAATCTCAAGGCCCAGATGTTTTTAACTAGCTAATTCTGATTCTATACAATATCTTCCACTAAATAGAAGAGAAACACTTCCCAACTAATATTATGTCAACATTACTGTAAAACCAAAATCCAACGAAGACATTAGAAAAAAACTACTGCCAATATCCCTCATGAACGTAGATGCAAAGATGGACCTGGGGGGGAAGTGTGCTGGGTGATATAAGTCAGACAGAGAAAGATAAATACCATATTTCACTTATTGTGGAAGCTAAAGAGCAAAATAAATGAACACACAAAATTGAAACAAATTTATAGATGTAGAGAACTGATGGTTGCCAGATGGAAAGCAGGTTGGGGGGGCTAGCGGGGGGGAAGAGATGGGTTTAAAAGGTGAAGGGATTAAAAAGTACAAAGTGGCAGTTACAAAATAGTCACAGAGATGTAAAGCACATCTTAGGGAATATAGTCAATAATATTGTAATAACTATATATGGTGTCAGGTGGGTGCAAGACCTATGGGGGGGAATCACTTCATTAAGTTATATAAATGTTCAAGTACTATGCTGTACACCTGAAACTAATACTGCATGTAATTGAAAAATTTTTTTAAAAGACTTGAGAGTATCTGTACTTTTCTTTTTTTAAAATGTCTTTATTGATTTGAAAGAAGTGAGAAGGGAAGAGAGAAAAATCAATGATGAGAGTCATTGATTGACTGGCTGACTCCTGCACGCCCCCTACTGGGGATCAAGCAAGCAACCCAGGCATGTGTCCTGACTGGGAATCGAACCTCGATTTCCTAGATCTTAGGTCAATGCTCAACCATTGAGCCATGCCAACTGGGCTGTACTTTTGATAAGACTTAACTGGGAAAAAAATAGTGACAATGTGGTAATATCTAACATTGCATATCATATATTCAGAAATAGAATTTTTCAGTATAAGATAATCTAAATTAATAAAGGAGTAGTTTGCTGGCTACATAAGCAGGATATCTGAAGTATATTAAAAGATGATACCCATGTTTATATATCTGTATTACTACATAAAACACTACCTTAACTCTACCAAGTCATTATCTTCATTATAGAGATTTCCTTGCAATATAAGAACTTGATTACAATTTGGAAAAGGAGAAAAATAAAGGGTTAATGGTAAGAAAAGTATTCTTGAATGCTGAGAAAATAAAACACAAACAAAAAACCCTCTAAGGTTCCTTACAGGCGGGGTTAGCCACTCAACTATTTGCAGGATAGAAAGAACAGGGATGAGAGGCAATGTAGAAGTATAGGAGTCATCAAAGGGCCTGTTTTTTTTTAAGGTTGTGTTGTCTATTATTGAGTCACAACAGTTCTTTATATTTATGGGTTTTTGGATACAAGTCTCTTAGTTGATATATGATTTGTAAATGTTTCTCCCATTCTGTGGGTGGTTGTTTCAGTTTCTTGATGGTGTCCTTTGAAGCACAAAAATTTTAAATATTGATAAACCCAATTTGTCTCATTTCTTTTGCTGCGCATCACTTTGGTGGTATATCTAAGAAATTACTGCCTAATCCAAGGTCAAAGACTTACTCCTACATTTTCTTCTGAGAGTTTTCTAGTTTTAGCTCTTGTATTTAGGTTGATGATCCATTATGAATTATTCTATATGGGGTGAGGCAGGAGTCCAACTTCATCCTTTTGTATGAGTATATCCAGTTACCACAGAACCACCAACATGAATGGGGGCTGGGAATAACCCATATTCATGCTCGCTGGAGAGTATTCTGGCTTCTCTTTCTTTAATTGAATCAATCGCCTCTTTGGGTTTTGAAGACAGATGTCCATGATCTTCACTTTCCAGAAGGTAGCAGTGTCCCAGCCATTAATTTCACATGGTTGGCTCATTGAAACTGAATAGGGCATCCTGTCACATCAACACTGGTTCAATATATGGTTAGCGCATCTTTGGTTCTTAGGATTGAGAACAATGTTTTTAGTAATCAAAGACCTTATGTCTACCTGGTTGCTCACCTCATGTATGACCCAGCCACTTCTCACCTCGGGTCCCAGGGCTGCAGTTTTCAGGGCCTGGGTTTTACTCCTTGGCTCTCAATGTGTATCTCAGAGTAGCACACACATAAGCCTGTCCTAACTCCTATACCCAGATCGATAAACTGATGTGATATAACAAAGGGATCTCTTTAAATTCTACTATTCTACTGGGCAATCACAATGGGAAGAATATTCTTAAATCCTTAATAAAAAATAATTTTTGTGGTATCAACTTAATAAAACAATCAGGAAACAAGATAAGTAATAGCACTTAGCATATTTCCTGGCACACAATTAAGTGCTTCATAAATATTATTAGCAGATAGGAGTCTTGGGAAAAGGTAAGAGGAAGAACAAAGAGGAAGAGAAAGAAGGGAAAGTCAGTCTAGCATGCAGTATTTTCTAGACTTTGTTCTCACACTATCACACGTTTAAATACCTTCCTCATAAATATGAATCAAAAATATTTTTATCATCATTCTGTATGAGATACTTCTTTACTTAAAGAGTTGTTATGTAAGGAAAATACTGTACTACCTTTTGATAAGAAGCAAAAAAAACCCCAATCTCTTTACACTCATTTTTATTAAACAAATAAGGCTGGTAGTGGAACTTTTTTATTTAATGCATAAACGTGTAAGTCCCTTTATTAGAGAAATTGTACATATTGGTGAATATGGTCAATGGTCACATCTAAGGGTTAATTCTTTAAAAATCAGAACCAATGATTAGGATAGACTGTATGCTCTCTTCGTTACATTGTAAAGTGTCTTGTGTAGTCATATTCTATTGTTGGAATGACAGCTTGTACAAATTTCAAGAAAATTAGGAGATACCTAAAGGTCTTTGCTAAGGAAAATAGATTGGTAAATAGCTCTATGATTTAACCTAACATTGTAATTATCTATATTATTAAGCAATAATTTCTCAGAAAAAATACAAAAGACGAAATCTTAAATAAAGCATATTTTAAAAATTCACTCATGCAAGCTTGTGTCTAGTCCACATGAGGCTCTCTATAACTTTCCATTCCCATTTAATATTTGAATGTGAAAATTATTGATGAGTAAGAGTTCAAGCCCAATTATTTTGATATAAAAATAAAGACAAGGTTGTCCATGTTTAAATGACTAAATCATGGTCCTTTTACTGCCTATAAATTTGCTTGAGTATGTTAGAAAATGAGATATGGTAATGAATATAAAAGCACTGAAGCAAAAGGGAAAAATAATTAAGTGGAAACCCTCCATAAGAACCAAGTCTAGGTTAGTGTATATATATGTACTTGCCATAGATCCTGTTAAATTGGACTATCTTTTATAAAATCCTGAATTTTTTCGTATGTTCCATTGTACTTGGAAACATTAAGAGCTTAATTTCTTACTGGGGGAATTGATGACTCAATTTTAAATTATATATGGAGTCTTCCAAGTTGCTACCTAGCCTCTTAACAAGAGATGAATACTCAAATTATGCATAATAGGATTTCAGGAATAAATCTGGTTTGGACCAAAAGTTCTTGGTTTGTTTCAATACCAAATCAGTTCAATTTACCTCTGAGAGATACACTTTCTTTGCAATGCTTAGGTTATCTGCAGTTCCAAGGCAGGATGGACCCCTTAGTCTACATCGAACACCAAGGGCATGAACCACCACATCTAATATCAATCTAGCACCAAACTAATTCAAGCTCTTTGGCATCAAAATCATTGACTTTGGCTGCTTTAGATGAATCCATACTATGGGGAAATGTATTTCAGGATTCAGAAGTTTACTTAATTTAATCATTGTGATAACCCCAGAAAACTGAGTTAATCCCAGAAGACAATCATAGTAAGATACAAGAAGGGTGCTCTTCTTGTAAAAAATGAAGAAAAATGAAAAATGGTGTGGGGGGAGTGAAAATACTGTATTTTAATATCTGAAATATGCTTCATGTGCTTTACTTTTTAAATAACCTATTTAAGTTGAATTTTTGCTTCAGAGAGACCTCAGACTGCCACAACTCAACTCTACTTTTATCTGAGGGGAAAACACATTTTTGATATCATGTTAAATTGGAAATATGCTTAGGGAAAAGGTACTCATGTGTTATCTTCTAAATTAGTAGAGTACTCATCTTTCATTAATAAATTATGCCCACTGAGTTTCTTTTTCATCAAGAGCAATGGCTTTTTATTCATATACTCTTAGCCATTGCCTCTTCAACAAACAAGCATTTGGCAAACTTGTTTCAGTCTCTGTAACAAGGCAGAGCTAACTGGTACACACAGGGACATGTGTTAATAAACTGAACAAGACGGAATAGTCACAATATGACATATTCTAAATAAATTACAGACTCCCACTAAGACTTACAGATATGAGAGGCTGGAACAAGTTATAGGCACTGTGCCATTAAGGTTAAACTAAATCTATTCCCCCCCCCCC